GTGGTTCCTTTTTTTGTGTCCGCCCCGCTTCCCCCCCCCCCCCCCCCCCCCCCCCCCCCCTCCCCTCCTGTTGCCTTTCCGCGTGACAATAACCACTTTGCGAGCAGGGGGGCAGCAAGGCACGACCAGCAATGACGCAGCGCGGGCGGCTCGTGCGGAGGACGGCGGTGGCGGAGCCGGCGCGGCCGCGCCGGAAGCTGCGGCGGACGTGATAGCGGAAGGGGGCTTCGTGCAAGGTGGGGCCTTTTCTTTTATGTTTAACCGTGCTGCTGTACCAGCTTATGAATTCGTCGATGTTGTACCTCAGCGTGACGTCACGCACTCCTAACCCTAATCCAATCCTTTTTGCGTTGTGCTGCAGTGTTTATTTTATACTCGAGTATAGTTTGGTCTTCACTTCAAAATAGCGCTTACGGCACATTTTGTACCGATTACTCCAACCCGTGGTCACACAGAAGGGTTAGTCTCGCTGAGGCCCTGGTATGGTAGAACTCCCATGGTAATCCGCAGCCCTTTTGGGCTCCTCGATGTCGTCCCGGGGAATTCTGCTGTCACAAGCTGTCCCTGGACAACCGTAGAATCACGATGGTGATTTACGGTTACCCCTTCTACCGTCCCGTGCACGCGCGGAATACTTTGATTATGTCTTTTGTTTGTTGCCACCCCTGCCTTAATGAGCGCTCCGGGTTGAATACAAAAGTTGAGCCAGCTGCATAACCTCGACATGGGGGGCTGTGCAACCGCAGCCACCTAGCAGGTGGAACCAATCCACTTAGCGCCATCCGGTATCAAAGCATCAGTTCTTGTTTTTGTGCGGCAGTGGCGTGGGGGTAACCCGGCGCGGGTTTGCAACTGACAATCCCAACCAGGACCCATATTTTTCGGCTTTTTTGGTCAAAAACCGGAACCCTGCCTAAATCTCCAATCCTTGCCGCAAACACCCCTGGTCGCTGTTTTGGTTCAGGCGGGGGGATCGAGGGGGCTTGGGGGCCAAAGACGTGGGTGCCCCCGGAGTTCCGTCGTACGAGGGGGCGTGGGGGGGTCACGTACGTCCTGCTTGAGGGCTGCCACAGACGCCTGGGGTGCACGTTGGTGAGAGAACGACGTCATGGGGGGGGCTCCGGTATTTGGCTGCCTCCCTCACGGGTGGGTGTTTATTTGACCCACTAGAGAGATTGCTTCACGGGCTACAATGACAATGGCGACGTCACCAAAATCACAACCTCTTTTGTAGTCACGATCTATTGTAGTACTCCTAACCACGAAGGTGCTTCTTCGTCCATCAACGCTACATACCGCTTCGCAGTTTTCTTTAATGGAGTACATGCCGTTTTCAGCAAGCTCTCCGGCGCTGCGACGGCCGAACCACAATCATCGTACACACCCACGATTAACCTACGCGAGAAAAAAAAATACAAATCGTTACCGATGATGACCGCAACCGGGGGTGTCATACGTATCCCTGACTGACTCAGGTGCTGAGGGGCGGCGACACCGCCGAGCTGAAGGCCGTGAAGCGAGTCGTCTGGCTAGCGGTGAAGGTGGCCTACAACCTCCGCCTCGAGGTGTCCTACCTCAACGACAGGCGTGCGTGCCTGGTGCCGTCCCTCCTCCCCTTCTCCTGCTCCCCGGCCTCTTCAAACTCGGTGGCCGCGGCCGCCGCCTTCTCCGCGGCCCTGGCCGGAGTCCCGTCTTCGGCAGCGGAAACGGCGTCAGCGGAGAAAGACGGCGACAGCCGTGATGCTGCTGGTGGTACTAGTGCCGCTGCGACAGCTCCCGGTGCCGCGGGAGACGAACGGAGCGCAGCGGCGGTGGAAGGGGGTAACGCGCGAGGCCTGCCGGCGGGAGGGCATCATCATCCCGAGACCGCGGCCAAGGCGACGGTGTCCGCCACGGACGGCGTTGACGGGGGCCACGGGCGGGTCGGCGCTGAGCCACCCGCAGCGGACGTCGAGACGGCCGGAGAAGGCGGCGGCGGCGGCGGCGGCGGGGCGGCGGCTCTTCGGAGGCACGCGGGCGGCACAGACGACATCGACGACGACGATGACGATGATGATGATGATGATGAAGAAGATGACACGGAGAGCGTGCTGAACCAGCCGCCGGTGCTGTCGTCCTCTCTTGGGGTAGACTTCGGGGAGTCGCCGCCGTTCTTGCGGCTCAGCAAGGGCAAGAACTCCGCCCCCGCCGCCGCCGCCGCCGTAGAAGGTAGCGGGATGACGGCGGCGGCGGCGGCGGCGGCGGCGGCGGT